AACGCTTCCAGTCACTGAATGTGGCTGGACGGCGTGTGGCTGAGAAATTTATCACCCTATATGTGATTCATATCAGTTGATATTGACAATTTGGTTTTAAACGTATGAAATACTGCCAGATGTTTCCTGTTTTGTTCACCATGCTGTGTTTTTTACTTTTAAGCACTTTTGAGGCGCAGTGGTGAAACCTAAAACTGCTGATGTGCAAGTTACTCAATAGGTTGTTGGTAGTGGGGGCAATATGGACTTATAGTTTCATCACAATATTTCGTGTTATTAGTGTGACAACAATAAAAGTGGAGATACGTAATATTAACTACTTCTTATTTAAGTAAGTGTATGGCTGTGCCTGCACGGCATTTATAACCTCACAAGCACAAATAGTGCTCTTTCCATTTGGTAAAAAACAATATGATTTATGTCACTAAAGAGCACATAATGACTACATTTCCTCTTATTTTCAAATATATTAATATTTATTGATCAGTTTATTGATGAAATGGTGAATAAAATAGTAAAACTAACAATCTTTTCAATTTGTTTTGTTTTTTAACATAATTAATTAGAATTTATTGTGGCAAAAATAAATCAAAAGTAATGTCTTTTTTTTTTTTTTTTAAGTATCATGATAAACGATACAATAAACAGCCACCCTGGTTGCTAGGTAAACAAAGAGCGAGTGAGTTAGTTGATGCCACCGATCTGGTTTTAACCAGCCGTGAGAGGTTGAACAGCGAAAACATTTCCTCTGCCTACATCTCCCTGAAAGCTGTGCAGTCCCAGATCAGAGTTCGGTGAATATTCTATATATTGAATATTCTATGAGGCGTATTATCGGTTGCAATATATATTGTTATTGATTTATTGCCTGAACTCAGACCAGCATGAGCGTGACATGAGTTTGGTTCTGCTTCTGAAGAGGAATTGCATCTTTTCTGACAGATTGTTCATCAAAAATGTCACACACACCTGGCTTTAATCCAAAACTGTGCTTGGCTCGGCCTGATAGTAGGATAGGAGGACGGTTTGTAAGCTGTTGGACATTTAAAGTGGTATAACTAAAGGTTTTAAAAAGAAAATATTTGATGTACATGTTCTCCTTTTTAATAGATTTTCTGAGCATTTCTGAGTCTGCTCTGTAATATCTCCTGATTATCAACTTCCAGCAGCTCCACACAACTCTTCATTTTTAGTGAATGTAAAAAAATGTCAGACATTTGTACCCAAGTATGTTTGGAATGTGAAATATGTCGGGACAGCATCCAGCTGCAGCATACACCTGAGATATAAAAATGATTAGATATGTGAAGAAATTTATAACCAACTAAGCTGAAAACTAATAAATACAGGAAATAAAATCATATAATGCAAAAGTATTCTGTTCTGTACTCTTTCCATTATCAGATGATGAATTGAACAAATGAAGTTCAAAGCAGGGGATTGCACAGACTTTTATTAAATGGTGTCTGAACACAGGGCATCTGAATATAGAGGTAGTAAAACAATCAATTATAAAATGCAATTATACACCAGCTTATGTCACATAAAATTTTAGTAATTTATGTTTCAATTTATGGTTGTAAAGTTACAGACTGTGTATTAGCAGAAATATTAGCAGAAAAGCATGATTTATTTAAAGAAATAAAATATATTGCAGTATGTTTTACTTCTAGTTTTGCAGAATGTTAACGACCTGAAAAAATAAACTTTACATATTACATTCACATCCCGGGTGTCCAAAGTGTGGACACCCACAACAGCTGCAGTTCAAGAATGAGCTGGTGGTAGATGCAAATTGAGTTGTTTTTTTATTTTTAATGAGATCAAAAATGATTACAGACAAATTAAAATATCACATTAGAAGAATTTGTTTACAACAAAAGTGTTCAATACTCAAGTTTTGTGTACTTTTCAATAAAGAAATGACTTAAATCTGGTTTTAAATGCTCAGAATTGACAAAAAGAAGTTCCTTTATTTTCAGTCGAGACATTGAAAAATTCAGAGTGGATCACTTTCTTTTAATGAAGCAAAAACCCTTTTTGCACTTTGAATCTGTAATAATAACACTTACTTTTCCAACATAAAAAGATTATGTGTTTTTGTAGGTAAAAAAAAAAATTGACAGTATTTTGGAAATTTTCAGTCCACATGTGACAAAAAATGTGGATGCCTGTGATTTACATATTCTTTTTGAGTCAGTGAATTCCCCACGCTGCCTTTCATTCAGCTGTAAGGCCTGAATCAGAAAATGTTCTGGAACTTCCTGACATTTTGGTTACCAGAATATGGCTGCTTATTTACATGTTGGATTAAAACGGAGTCTCTGGGAACATCTCTGACGTGTGACGTCCTTTTTTTAAATTCTTTTTATAGTTTGAATATGCGCTGAGGCATCTGTATGCTCTGGTGAACCTGTGTGAAAAGGGATACCCTGCTGACAGGTAACGTTCACTTCCCTGTTTCTAAACCACTTTTTTTACTCCGCATTTGTCACTTTTAAACCTGAAGTGTTATTTTTAATGTGAAAAGGACTCAGCTTTGTTTTTGTTTTTTTTGTTGCCAAGTATTTAATTAACATTAGTGAAACAAATCGATCTCCTTGTGTGGTGCAGTCGCTGGAAATTTTGTGTTGTTTTCTTGTTTCCCAGCATCCTCATGGCCATGGACTCTGTGTGTGGCTTCAGCAAGTAAAAACCACTAAAACCATTTTTGGCCTCAAACTGGTTCTCGACGGAGCTCAGAAACTTCATTTTGCACTGCTGAGGAATCAATCCGATAAGGAGTTGACGTTATTGTTTCATGAACACACTATTGCACGTTTTTACCATGCTGTTTGATTTTACCTAGAATTTTTACGCTTTATGATGATGTTGCACTATCACTGTGAACTTTGTCGATGATGGATTACTGCTTCTGCCTGTTTTTTTTTTTTTTTTCTTTTATGAATGTAGGACAATTATAACACTGGGATTCCTCTGAGCTTCATCTGTTGGATCAAGTGTCTTACTTTGATGTTTGATTGAGATGTAAAGGATGAACCCTAAGCCATGAAAGCTGCTGGAGTCTCAAGATACTTTATTGTACTTCAGCGATTTTGAAATTAAAATGTGACAAACCAAAATTGGTAGTGCTTTTTTAAAAGTTATTTTACCTTTTAGGTGAACCCAAACACGTATAAACCTAAAAATAGCATCAGTATGTGTTAAAAATCATCAATTTCATTAAATCTGCCTGAAATGCATAGTAGGAATGAGAGAAATATCTTAAACATGCTTACTTCTCAGAATCGCATTATTAAATTATGAACACCTCAAATGAATCAAATGTTAAATGGTTAGTAGTCTTATGAAATGCCCTTTTTTCTTTTCTTGTCATGTCACTCTCCCAGCAGGGAAGGATCGTCAGCAGTCACTCATACAGGAAACATTAAACTGTTTCAGTGAATAAAAATAAGACTGGAATTTTTTGACAAGTGGATCAAACTTGCATGTTACGTCAGCGCAAGAGTAAACCAGGCTCAGGTGGTTTACGATTCTGTAGATTTTGCTTCAATTTCAAAGAGCAGACAGATTGAACATATATTAAATACTGCATAAAACTTAAAACTGTAAAGAGAAACAAGGGAACAATGTCTAAAAATGCTGAAGAACATTAGTCTTCAGTAAATAAAAAAAATATTCTAGGAGTTTTTAAGTGAAACTCAGTTGCTGTACATTTGACATTTTGAAAAGGAATTAAAATTGTTGAGTCCCTGTTAAATTAAATTATGTTACACTTTCAGACACTTGCTAATGTTTTGGTATCTCTGGAAGAATAGTCTTGGAAACCATTAAATAAATCAATATTTTCTAGAAGTTTTACAATTTCACATTGACAATTTTGTAAAAATGTATATATTTTAAAGTCCATACATTTTCTACAGTTTCTTTTATATATAGAAATATGTAATTGAGAGCCCAGATATCCACATATCCAGGCAGATTATCTTATTTTCAGTTAATTTATTAATACTTTCGGATCACTATCCTGTTCATAGACCTGGTACTGACCCATTTTCCTGGTATTTCAAGAGTACATATTTAATCCAGATGATAGGATATGAGGACCTTCCATTCATCCATGCACAAAGCATCTATTGGGTGATATAGAAGACCTGTTAACTTTGTGAACAAAGATGACACTCTTCACTTCAGCTAAACCTAAAAAAGTGAAAGTAAGCCAAACTAAAATAAATGTGCAAATCTAAAGCCACCGATTGACCTAATAATCATTTGACTGTCAAGACATATGACAATAACCAATCAGCTAAAATCACATGATTAAGTTTCTTACATGACTGAGGTCAAAACTGCAAGTTGACTGATTGTCACAATGACAATAAATGACTTATCATCACAAGACTCATTCTCACACAAAAATCCAACATTCCTTCTCTTCTACATAATGTGTTTACGCTGGTGTGGTCTGCTTTGGGTTTCATTTTATCATAAATAATAATAACATTCAGCTTGACTTTTTAGGAGAATCTCTGCAGCACAGATTTATAGGCCGACCTTTGATTCGTGCACATCGTCAGGCCTCTGGGAATAAGCAACATAAACAATGAAAGTGCGACATCATGTGGCGAGATGTTTTTTTGCATACTCAAAACAATAATAACTGTTCCTAAAACAAGCTGCCCTGGTGGTTATTAATAGCAAAATGAGTCGCGTGTTCAGGCACTCGGATAGCCAGTGTTCTGTGGGTTTTTCTGACTTTCTGCAGCTGAAAACTGAGTTAAATAAATTCAGTAAAAATACAAGTTTTATTATTTTATTTGTTTTTTTTTATCTCTCATTCCCTACTCATTTATTTATTTATTATTATATTATATTATATTATATTATATTATATATTTTCTTTTATTTTTTTCATGCAGGCAAAATGCTAAGCTGCCTAAATGTAATGAGACGAGACGGACAGGTCCTGTCAGGGCATCAGGGCGGAGTCATGTTTACTCCCGCCCACCTCATTAGACAGGAAGCTAGCCGGACCGAAACTCGCCTCGACAACATGAAATCTGGACCGAGAGGAAGAAAGCTTTAACAGAAAGCAGGCCGCTGGTCGAGTTGTGCCAACAGAGAGGCAGCAAGCCACCGTCTGGGCGAAACTCCGCTTCTGACCTCTGCTTGAACGAACCGGGTCATTTTTGAAGTTCAGCCCGCAAAGGTTAGCTCGCTTGCTAACTTCCAGCCTCGACGTATCTCGGCTGGTTCTGTTGTGCAAGATAAGAGCTGCTGAAGTGGTTTTTTAAAGGTTTCGCCATGGGGTCCCGAGCGTCCACGTTACTCAGAGAAGAAGAAATAGAAGAAATCAAGAAGGAAACGGGCTGTAAGTAAAATAAAGGACTTGTGTAACCTCCAGCTGCTCACTGTGTATGTGAAGCTGGAGGTTTACTGCGCTGTTTTGTGGATTACCTGGGCGCTGTCAGTGTGGTGTAATTGTATTAAGTATTTATTTAGGAGGTGTGCGTGTGTTATATTCTGCTGTTCTGTCTCCCAACATCTTGAAATTGTTTGGTTTGCAGTCTCCCACAGCCAGATCACCCGCCTGTACAGCCGCTTCACCAGCCTGGATAAAGGAGAAAACGGCACGCTCAGGTAAGCAGCTGCACATAAACGCATCACCTGACATTTTCTGCAGGAGGCAACAGCTGGATGGGTTCACATCAGATATTAAAGTACCTGAGTGAAGTTGCCCCCCTACCTTTAAATCAGACAAAATTGGTGTCAAACGTTTGTGCAGCAAAAAATTTTGTTTGTGCTGCTATAATTCTAAAGATATTCAGAAAAATGGGGGGCTTGTTGACCTTTGACCTTAAATTTTTGCTGCACAAACGGAGTCGAGTTGATTGGCACCCATTTTGTTTGATTTGAAGACTGCGGCCGGCTGGTTGACCTTTAATGACCTCTAGAAAGTATCTTTATATCTTTAAAATGATAGCAGCACAAACGAAAATTTTTGCTGCCCAAATTTTGTCTGATTTGAAGAAGGTCGGGGGGCAACTTCACTCGGTTCTTACAGCTATTTTACATTTGGCAGTAAGTATCGATCATATTTTTCTGAATGAATCCGATTTCCTGTTTATATTTCAGATCTGTTTTAGGTTCTGTGTCAGATGTCAAAGTTTTGAATTAAGTGGGAGAGAAAAAAAATACAATATGATCCGCAAATTTCCAATACTTCCTGCTATAAAAAATCCATCAAAGTTCACGCTGTTTGTTGATGCGTTTTATAGAAAGAAATATGTGAAACTTGCTTGTTTGGATGCATTTTTGAGCCCCTGATTCTCCCAATCTCTGCATTATTGATTGTTTCAATCTTTTATTTTATACGTTTATCACTTTGCTGCTTATAAATGGAGAATATCTCCACATGGAGCAAAAGAAGTAGAGGATTAATCTTTGTGGAAGGTCAATAACAACTTCCGGGAGGCGACTTAACTGGTTCAAGTTTAAGGTGATAGGTGATGGAATATGAGATAATTATTGAGCAATAAAGACATTCGTGTGAACCGTGGTTTAACACGGCCCTTTGGTTTGGCAAGACAATCATTTGCAGGTCTGCCCTTCAAGGACAGTGAAATGTGTCTGCAATTTCGTGGAAGCGTGTCTCCTGAAAGACATTCTATTTACAGAAAACACGTCTCGGGTGCTGCTTGTCCTAGTTTATTGTCGCTTTTCCTAATCGTCCGAGAGTTGCCATAACAGTGACCTCTAGAGGTCTACATCCAGCCCCCACCTCTCTGAGAAATGGAGAGAGGGGGTGATTTTGATTTGAAAACTTGGTTAGTATATGTTTCTGCTAAGCTAAAATCTCCTTGTAGCGGACCGTTATGGGGTTGTCTTAGAAGTTAATCGTATTTTCTGATATCGGCAGTCGAGAAGATTTCCAGAGGATCCCTGAGTTGGCCATCAACCCTCTTGGGGACAGAATCATCAACGCCTTTTTTCCTGAAGGGTGAGTTTCTCTAACTCGCTGTTTTCTCAAAGTCTTTGAAGGGAGTTTTTTTTTTTTTGAGTTAATTTTTTTTTTTTTTTTTTTGAGTTAATTTTTTTTTTTTTTAAGTTGACAAGAAATTTGAAAATGTCACTTGATAGCTGTGTGTTATTTGAAGATTAATAAATGAACGCCAACTATAAAGTCTTTAAAAAATACTAACATTTTAAAAAGACTCAAATAAATAAGCAATGCTTAGCCTGGTGGGAGGACAAGTAAAGCCTGGTGGCCCGCCAGGCTGATGATACACTGGGGGAAAACCCTGAAAATGGGATATTAAAATGTTTTTTCCAGATTTGTTTTTAATTTATCTAAATATTTAATCCACCCAGCAGTTTAATTATTTATCTGTCCATTTTTCCATCCATTTGCCTCTCTGTCTGTCCATCCATCGATTCATCCATTTGTCCATCCTTTTGTTTTTCCCTCCATCCATTAATCTGCCAATTTGTTTGTTCCATTTTTCCATCCATTCATTAGTTTATCCTTCCGGATCCATCAGTTCATTTTTAAATTATTATTACCTCCTAAATTATTAAAAACGATGTAGAGACCTTTTTCTTTGTTTCTTTTCTACTTTTAAAACTAGCTTCATAAGTTGAGAGCGCTCCGTGAAATTAAAGGTCTTTGACCTAAAAATGTGTAGGAACATTTCCCATCCCTAGAATAAGCCTCATTTTTTTTATGTATATATTTATATCAGAGTAGAAGGCTGGAAAACCAGATGTTGTTTTGTCTATATCATTAAAATCCCTAAATGTCTCAGGAGTGGGCGTTTGGATTCCAGACGTGGCTTTTAATGGTTTCACATGGCTTCGATTTCCTCTCGGAGGTTTGGCACCGTTGGCTTTCGCTCAAGCTGGAGAAGTAGAAAAAGTCCGTACCGCAGGTGCCGGATCACCGCTGACTCTGAGGGTTTGTGTCTTCCAGGGAGGATCAGGTGAACTTCAAGGGCTTCATGCGCACCTTGGCGCACTTCAGACCCATCGAGGACAACGAGAAGAACAAGAACCCGCCCGCCGCGGAGCCGCTCAACAGCAGGACAAACAAGCTGCTCTGTGAGTGCACGCCGAGGTTGCGTTAGGGTGGAGCTGCTGACCATTATGGGGAACATTCACGGGGGTTTTGGTCAGTGGGTTACCATTTGCGTAACTTGTTTTGAAAAAAATTTTTTTGTTTTTTTTCCCAGTTGCTTTCCGTCTGTACGACCTGGACAGAGACGACAAGATCTCCAGGGACGAGCTGCTGCAGGTCAGTGAGTTGGTTTTCTCTGACTTCCTCTTCTTTCTTTTTTTTTTAACATTACAGAAATCAGTTAGATTTTGTTTCCAAACCTGTTTCCAGTAGAGAGACAAATAAATAGGGTTTAGGATTTGGGTGCTTGAAATCCTTGAAAATGCTTGAATTTCAGGTAAGTGAAAGCATTTTCCAAGGTTTGTAAAGCGCTTGATTTGTGTATAAAGTCCTTAAAAGTGCTTGAATATTCTATCTGCACAACTTTTTAATAAAGTTCAATCTGGCCTTTGAGAAAAAACCTGAAGTTGCTGAATGTTATTTACACTTAAAACCAGATGTATTCATTCACCTAATAAAAAAACAAACATTATTTTGTCTTAATGGCTGAAGTTATTTTAAGTTAGATACACCTAAATAATTTCTACTTGTTGAATGCCAGATAACATCTCAAGGATATATTTTTTAGAGATTTATTTCTTGTAACTTTCTTTGTACATTATGCTTAAGCCTTCATTTTGACCAGGGATTTGAGTTTCCTTTAGGTTTGTTGGGGTTGTCTCAGTGCATTAGTTATTACTTCTAGTGGCTCAATGGCTTATTGATCTGTGGAATTACAATAAAGGTCGTCTTACATTTTAAAACTAAAGTTACTGAAATTGAAGGATTTATTTATTTATTTTTTTGCTAAATTAGTGTTTTGTTCTTGGACCAGATCAAGTGTGTGGTGTAGAAGAGACATTTGAAAACATAAAATTGTTATATTTTAGCCTCTTTATCTCCTCACAAGGTTTTATTAATAACGGTCATAAATGATATCAGATAATAGTGAATTGAAACAGTCTTTTTTTTTTTGTTTATATTGATTTGATCTCCAATTTGCTTAATTTATTTTTTGATTTTTATTTATTTTGCTGTGTGAAAAGTGTGCCAACCCTGAATAAACCAACCCAAATCTGCGTGATGTCACTTGCTTTCCTACTAATCAGAGGAGAACCGGACTCAGTTGTGCAACTTCGGTTCCAAGGCGTTCTGCTCGATGAACCCAGTCAATGAAAAGACTTTGGCCTTGTGCTGATAGTGATGTGATGGCTCACCTTAGCCGCAGGCTCTTCATTGTCTCGTCTCGGAGCTTCCTGTGAGTTTTCTGTTGTCTCTCCGTGAAGCCGCTCCGGTTTTGGGTGACCTTGCTCGACCTGTGATTGGTGGGAAGCTGCTGGCTGAGTGCCTCAGACGCAGGGCTTGTTTGATGCAAAACAGTCCTGCTACCTGGCCTGTCTGATTCAGACTAAATATGTGACTCCAAATGCTGTTTGTGTCATTTTTCTCCCTGCTAAAAAACTGACTTTGATTCCTACGATCACTTGCCAAAGAGCTAAAATACCTCCAAGTGATCACGTGTCTGCAGTCTGTGTAGCGTTAAGTTTCTTTTGACCGCCGTAAACACTTATTTCATCTTCAGCGGTTGCTTTTCTTTGAAAACGCATTCAGCAACCGTGACGACGTCGCTTGTTTCAGGTCCTTCGGATGATGGTTGGCGTAAACATTTCGGACGACCAGCTCGGCAGCATTGCTGATCGGACCATCCAGGAAGCCGACACCAACGGAGACAGCTGTATTTCCTTTCAAGAATTTATGAAGGCGAGTTGCATTTCACCTTCTAGGCTTTGACTAGACCAGTGCGAGGTCACATTCAGCTCTGTTCTCAAATTGACCACCGATTTGGCTTTGTCTGTGTCAACTGAGTGACTGTAACTTGCTTGGGTCCTGCTTGTGCAAAACAGACCCACAGACCATACTGCCACTACCGTGCTTGGATGTGATTTTTCTGGGAAAACTGGAATTGAAATTAAGAATTTTCAATTCTTAATTTGCTGCAAGTTATAATTATTTTAGTAATTGATTAATCAATAATAGTGATTAATCAATAATAGATTGGGTTTAATTGATTAATTGGTTTTTAATCAATTAATTGTTTTTTAAAATCAATTGTTTTTTTAATTTACTAATTGATCTTTTAAAAGTGGATAAAAAATATTTGTAAATTCTGAGGAATAAATCCATTAAAAGATGGAAATAAACAAATAATTGAATCTTTTTTTAAATTGCCATTTTAAATGAGAAACTAAACATTTTATTGCTTAAAACGCAACAACATTGAATTCCTTTGAATTTGAATCTTGTGAAAAAATTTATCTTGAGGAGTTTTGCATAAAATATAGTAACAGACAAACGGGTTTTTATCTTTAAAGTGGAACCTGTGTATATAAGTTTCGCTTAATTGCTGCTCTGAATATGCTGTTGTTTTCACTAAATTGCCTGTTTTTTGAGTCTGTATACGGAAGCTAACGATTAATAAGAATTGTGAAAACAAAATCTTTGTTTTTATTTTATTATTTGAACTGTAGTGCTACAAATTGCTTGCAGCCTCACCTGTTCGCATCCCTGCAGCTGCCTGCAAAAAACTAAAACTTCATCGATAATTTCTCGTGTGCTAACGTGCAGTTTTGTCTATTTTCACAGGTTTTGGAAAAGGTGGACGTGGAACAGAAGATGAGCATCCGGTTTCTCCACTAAAGTTTTTTTCTATTTGTTTGTTTCCCTTCACACCTCCTGAGTAGAGCTCGGACTGGTCAGCTGTTGCCAGGGCATAGATTCATCCTGCTTCTCCGCAGCCCGTCTCGGGGCCACATCCAACGTAGGGCAGACGTCTCCGACGTTCTGCCGCTTGCACCGCTCCGTGAACAAAGGGGAACATTTTTTTTAAAAGTTGCGTGCCTTGAGTTGTTTTATGCAATGTCACGATGTACACCTTCCTTAATCGTCCGTCGGTATTTATTAGAGGGCCATAGTGGGTAACACTGCTGTTCTATGTGGTAAAGCTCTTCGCTGTCGCTATGAGTAAGTTTAAATCAAAGTTTATTCGTACTGATGATATCATGTGTAAATCGTGCGTCTTTGTAACGTGCTCGAGTGCAAAGTGTTAAATGTGTGATTGCATTTCATGGTCTTTTTTTTTTTTTTTTCCAACGCTGACAGGATTATATGACTCCTTCCCTCCGGCCAGTTTTGGAGCAAGCTGTAATTTATTATTCTATTCCCCGAGGCGAAGCGAGACCAGCCCCACTGATTGTTGATTAACTCACTGAAGTGCCATGACTAAACACTAATCACAAATCTGTAGCCTGGACTACGTCACTAAACTTAGTGTTTAAAACTAAAGTCTTGCGATTCTTTTTAAATGAAATCCTGTTAGGACTTGATCAAAGCCTAGGAATGAATGTTAGGATCTACAGTGGAGCAGATCACCTGACTCCACACGGATGTCATTTCATTCTTCTGTTACTTTCATCTGTTTCTATTGTGGCTAATGTAGGAAAAAAAAACAAAACACAAATGCTAATCATGTTTTCTAACTTATTTCTGTGTTTAGTGAAATAGGAGTACCAATATGAACCAGAGTTTAGTTGTTTGGTATGTCTTTGTTTCATCTCTGGATTTTTCTGTAACAGTGCAGGAAGAACAGCTCGACTACTTTTTATCAATAATTATGGGATCATAAGATATATATTATGTGATGTCTCTCTGTAGCTATGTAAGTGAATTATTGAACTTGATTTCAATAAAAAGTGCCATGCAATCTGTGTTGTTTTGTTGAGGTTTGCTACTTTATTAGCTGATAATACATGGGATTTGGGGAACCAATACATAGTAGCTGATATTTATAGCATGGAAGTATTTTAAGGAAACCTACCTGGACTTTTCTGTAAAGTCAATCGAATCAGTTTTGCTATTTTATCATGACTCTAACAACAGACTGTGTTGTTCCATCTCTCAATGACGCCTGTCGAAAGCCTGAATTTGGATTTAGAAGTAGATGATCCAATGAGTCTGAATTCTTAAACAGTAAGCTAGCCAAAATCTTAGTTTTTTTTTTTTTTTACCCTGTTTAAAAACTCCCACAGGCTTATTTGAGAAGAATTATTATTATTTCAACTGCCGTAGTGGAAATGTGTGTTGTACATTTATAGCGTTTCTATGCCAACTGACGGCAATTGCGTCTGAACATCTTTTAGCTAATTAACCCTTTAACGTTGCACTGATTTATAAACAACCTCTAATCCCAATTAAGATGAAGAACGAGAGAAAAAGGTGTGCTTCCGGGGCGGGGCTTGGCTTTGACCGACCACCCTTCCGTCCAATCGTCGCGCTCTTCTTTCGCTCGCGCTAAAGCAGAGCAAAGATGGCGTAGGAGCGGAGGGAGAAGGAAGGAGAGGACCTTCTTCTCTCCCCCTCGCCGTGTCCAGGAGAGGAGAGAAGGGGGTCCGCCACCGTGAAGCGTCCTGTGAGACTGCGGAGTCGTCTCATGGGAGTAAACAACCTGGCTGTCCTGCAGGTGAAGAGGACCCTGAATGTGTCACCGCAGAGGAAGGATCCCCCCCGGCTTTTGTTTACCATTGTGTGCGGCTGCAGCAGCAGCAGCAGCTCAGAGGAGCAGAGGAAATGTTTCTACATCATTTCACACTCAGGTCAGTCAGTTTTTTTTTCCCTCTGTGAAATTTCTTTGCTCAGCTCTGAGTGCTGCATCTGTTATATCTCTGAGCTGATTAGTTAAGGTTTTGGCCACTTAGCGTTAGTGCAAAATGAGCGCAGTTTATCATATTGCTTTTCTACAGTGCTGGTTACAGGATAAATGCCGCCCTGGGCAGCGGGCATGCATATTTGTATGCATATGTTACCACAATATAATCAGAATTATGCTTTAAAGAAATGACCAGACTGATACCTGACATACCTTTATAATAATATATAAATTAGAAAAGTATGATTTATTAATATTAATTATAATAATGATTATTATTATTTCGATATCTTCCCAGGAATACCTGAAATCTGTGAATATTTGGGACTCGCATCATATTTAGGTTAATAACCATTAATGCACATGTTGGAAATATTCTTATCTCTACCACAGAAGCTAACATCCAGTCTGTTTCATTCAACTGTACAGCCAATCAATGAGCAGATGCTCCTGGATTGGCTGGTTTGCCAGCCAATGATGCGTCAAATGTCATTGCTACTTCAAAATATTTTGGACGTAAACCACAAAAATTCTGCAAATAGGTGGATTTTGTGCAAATAATTTAGTAACCGGGAGATTTTAATATGCTAGTTTAATGCCGTGTTTTTTCTTCCAGTGAAACCGATTTTTACAGGTGGAGAGATGGAGCCGATCCCGGGAGAAGACCCAGAACCGCCGCTTCTGCCGAGCCCAAGGGAACTGCAGCTAAGCTAACCCCCTTTTGGGGTCCTCACTCTCCTCCCGCTGCCTTTCCTGCTGTTTTCTGGGACACTGGATATCTCTCTCTTGTCCACAGCACTCCCATTTGTCCTGACCTCTTTCTGCAGCCCAATCATCAGAGAGGAACGCTCGCAGCATTTCGGATTTACAAAGATTTAAAGTCGTCCAGCTTCGGACATAAAAACTATAACATAAAGCCTGGTGTACTGACACCTGTTTAATTTGCTTAAAGAAATGGGTGATTTCTGGGTGACGCCTATGTAAACGGAGTTGCTTTTCAACCGCACAAGAGGTTTGATAATGAGTAAACTATATGTGTTTTTTTCCGAAGAACCTAAAGACACAACATACTGTAGCAAATATCAAACGCCTGTGATACAAATTAAGATTTGTTGATTCATTTTCCTTTTCTTTTCAACTACCTCATTGCCACAGTAAGTCCAATGGGATCGAGAGGAGCGTTTTCTGAACAAAGGCGTTACGGAGCACCTCAGCAGTCATTTTTGTCTGTCCATCAATGTTTCAGTATCGAAGTCAGGGAGTTGGCAGGAGAGCAGAACGTAAATATGCTGTTGCTTATATTCAGGTATGATGAGACAACTGCTTTCATTTAACCAGAAATATTTAGGTCGCTGAAAATGTACAGCTAAATTTGGACTCCTAATAAGCAGGGGGAAAAACCAAAGTCCCTGCCAGATTACAGTGTGCAGCAACGTGTGGGGAAGGGTCGTGGCTAGACATCTCTGTTCAGAGCTCTTTGTCTGGCATCTCGTTAAAAGCATTTTTGTGTTTCTTAAATTCAGTCTTTAAAATTTTATTTGCAACCGAAATTTATTTCCATCTTGCTGCCGTTTTTCTGGAGGGGGATGAGATTGGTTATGTAATAGTGATGCATCACGGAAATTCGGGAAGTTTAGATGAAGCAGAGAATGAGTGAAGTCGGCGGTAAATATCGGTTATCGCCCAAAATGGCAGTATTAATATCGGGGATTGGTATCAGCCCAAAAGTTCCCTTCGGTGCATCCCTACTTCGTACCTTGATGCTAATATCCAGCTCACGCCTGGCCAAGTCTGCATAGCGTCAAGAGTTTACGTCTCACACTTCTTGCAGCTTACAAATGGCTTCCCCGCTTTAGTTCATTTCATTTTTTTGCCACATACATGTATAGGGAAAACAACGACATCAGAATTACTCTTTACCGGGATCTGTGCAATATTTGATCTTAACTGTCATGTTGTTGACCAAACTGTATATTGTATAAAACAAGTGACAAGTTGTTTGAAAGCAACAAAATCACCAATGTCTTCCATTAAGATATGTATAGACTCATGTGCGTTAGCTTATTTAGCGGGACTGTGGTGCCAAAAAAACATCATAGTAGCCATGCATGACCAGTAGTAATGCTTGCTTCATCAAGAGTATCGGTTTTGTAGGCCGAGCTGAAGCTCAAATCTGTGGAGTCCATTTCAGTAAAAACTAGGGAGCATTAGCCTCACATACTTAAAAACCTCTAGGTACATCAAATTTAGATACCGCTTTAACCTGAAATCTAGTGCTTGAGCTCTGTTTTAAGGCATGTATATGCTAGTAGGAAATATATAGCATGACACAGTTGGGATGCACCATTACAAAGAGGTGCACCAAACATAATTTTGTGGCTTTTGTACGTCTTTGACCTGCCGACATCGATTTTAGTCTTTTATGACTTCTCTTGAACTGTAACATGAAATCATGACTGCGTTCAAAATATTTCTCGTCATCCTGTCGTGATTGGAGATAGATTGTGTACAGCGAGAGCCGAGGCCGTGTCACATTGTCTGTGAAAGAGGAGTCGCTGTAGAATAGGGTTTGCAAGTATTTTAGTGAAGTTTAAGGATGTCTGATTTTAGTTCTTACCATTGTTAGCGTAGCTAGCGTTACAGAAACAGCATATCTGTTACTCGCTTATTAGCTGTTAAGGTTTAAAGCTCTGTAAGATAGCAACCTTGTCCACTCTGTTCAGCCTTCCTGTTTTCTGCTGCAGTCTGGCTCTCTCTCGCCAGACTGCCGCCGTTGAGAGAGCTGTACACTATGAATGAGTCACAGACGACAGCTGCATTCCCATGAACCATATAATTGCACAAATTGATATTTTTAAAATAAATTAGCTTAATGGAAACACGGCACTTTCGAAGAAGCTCTCGTTTTTTGATAAAAAGTTGTCTCTAGGATGAGGCGCCTTTCTGACCGTAGAGAAATTGTTTTTTTTGCAAAACTGCAGTGGAAATACTATTTTCAAATCACCCGAGTCACATGATGAACAAACATATTAACATGTGATATTGATTGCGTTTCATATTTAATGTAAACTTTTTTTAAAAAGTCATTCGCATAATATCAACAACATTTTGCGCACATTTGGAATGGAAACGTAGCTTACGGTGAATTCGCTGAGTTTGGATCTCTTGGTGCACCTCTGCATGAGTTAATGTTTGTTTTTTTTCTTTTTTTAGACCACATTGTGGTCTGTAAAGTTTTAACATAAGAGCCAAAACTTTTTTTTCGAGAACCTTTACAGCAGTGATTTTAGGAGGAGGACCTCAAGTCCCCAACTCAGCATCCTGCATAGGTGGTGCTGCTAGTCCTCATTGCAAAATTGTACAAGTGACCTCATAGTTTTGGGATTCAGAACATTCTATTTTAATCCACATAATTGTATTTAATTAGAATTTTTAGAAGCAATAACCTGAAATAATGCATGAATATAGCTCCAGGAGTTGGTGTTAAAAGGACTGTGTTAACATCTCATTGAAAATCCCCCCCTTTCTCTTGCTCTCTGCCTTTGAACTCGCAACATTAGCCACCTACTTCCTTTTATTGCATCTTTACTTTTTAGCCTGATTTAGTTTCAGTCGTTGCTGAACATGGAAAAGGCTTTAAATTTGAACTCTTGTAGCATCCACAAAGACCCTCTCCTCGTCTGCGAGTTGCAGACTTTAAAGTAACTGGCTGAACGACGCTCACGTGAAAAGCACTTTCTCTCCACGTACTGACTTGCAGCGCCCATCGTCACCGTCACGTCCTGAACGCTGTGTTCCGGCAACCCTGTCATGTTCTTTCTGGTGATTCATAATCCCAATTTATGAGCAAGTAGACGTCCAGGTGATATGAATTTGTGGGTTTAAAAAAAAAAATATGCATGATTTAGCAGAATAACGAATGACTTGTATTGCATGCAATAACCTAATCTTGTAATGTGAATGAGTGTAATTATAGGGGGTGTGGGGGGGGGAGTATTATGATTCTCCAATCCAACTGAAGGTAATACCGACAGTTTTATCGATTAGATATATATATATCATTAAAAGAAAAATGGAAAAGTTAGTTTTTTTCCTGTTGTGTCACATGCAACCTGGCAGTACCACTACAGTGCAGCTCTGCAGTTCTTGTTCCCATGAGGAAAACTTAACAAAAGCTTTGGCAAGATTTCTGAAATTTACTTTGTTGCTCAACTTTTCCACTGAGATAGTGGGCTGTATAGGAACTATGCACTACAGAGGGAGGAAATGGGCATGCCTAATATGTGTACGCCTCTTGTCTGGTTTTGTAATAAATGAATAAAAAAAATAAATAAATCTGTATCAGAAAAAATTAAGCAATAAACAGCAGCATGGTGCCAATTGAATTGTGTCGTTTCTTTTACGCTTCGAAAATGAGCAGCAAAACATATTTGAGACACAGAGTTAAAGCTGGAAAAGCACCCTAGGTTTTATTTTTTATTTAATTATACCAAAGAATTTTTATTTAGTCAGCCAATGAGTTATAAACTAAAGCCGGATGTTTGCATTCATATTTGACACTAACATTTACTTTGCGACCCAGAAGACTTTTAAGGAAAAAAAACAAACTCCAACCTTTATTGTTAAAACTTTTTTAATATTCTCCTTGCAGAACTCAGGGTGGTCCAAATTCCTGGCTTCCATATGCAGCTCATTGCACATTTTTACTAGCCAAGTTAAAGAAAGTACATTTCATTTTTCAAATGCTCTATGCACACAAAACAGCTTAGCAAGCATCATGTGAATAGGTTTTAAAAGGGCAGATGTGGGGGCCTCAAGACTTTGTTACATTTACAGTAAAGGGATTGGTGGAGATGTTTTTTTAAAAATCACATGCCCAATGTCTGCAATGCTGTTTCTCTTACAAAGGTCCCGGCAACCTCCTTAAAAGATTTTTTCCCCTTTTCACATGTTATTCCTTTCACCCTTGCTGTATTTAAATAAAGGTTGGACTTTTTTTCCCTTTCAGTGAGATTATGCTTGTAATAATTTTTTATATATATATATTTTTTTTAAATCTTAATTTTAGGGGGTTTCTAACATATTACTACTGGCAATGCAAGATATGAAAAATAAATTAAGGATATCACACTCAAATGTATTGTAAAACAACATATAATGTACAAATAAGTGTAGCAGAACTTGAGTGAAAAATGAATTTAAAAAAAGATTCATTATCAGTTTGATACAAAGAAAGGGACATTATGAGCTTTAAAAAAAGAACACAGAACATGTACAGCCTAACAGCATCCAGAATTATCATCAAAAAAAAAAAAGCTAATTGGTCGAAACACACATACAGCACAAACTCCAAACATCTTACAAACGCCACTCCCTGCCCCGACTGCTGAGGTTCACACTCATGTCAGCCAGCAGGCTGCAGGTGTGTGCCATCAGATCCAACTGTACTTCACACTGCCGCCTTGCCTGCAGAGAAAAGAACAGAACTGCTGGAAGTTTTCACTAAAAATGGAAGCAGTGTCTCATTTTTAAAATCACCTTCGCTTAACTTTTGAAATGTAATTTGGAGGCTGCATTTCCGTCACCTTTTGTCAGGTGAAATTAGCTCGAACTAATTTAGGGTACTATAATCAACCGGAAAGGTCTACAAGAGCAGGAATCCAGTCAAAGTGCATGTTGGTGTTCCCAGTTGGCTCGGGTCATTTGGCTTTTGCTTTCCTCACCTCATCAACCGTTTCCTGAAGAGGCTTCAGCTCAAAGGAGAGAGAGGAGGCCTTCACCATGGAGCTTGTGTCCAGAATGTAACTGCAGGTACAGACATTTATAAATCAATCAATCAGAAAGTTACTTGCTTTTGACAGGGACAACATGCAGTTAGTTCCCTTCAGCGCTGCTCACCAGCTCATTTTGGCTTTGCTGAGGAGAAAGACGAAGCGAGTAGCAGCCAGATGCGAAGGAGCAGCGTGAACATGTTTCCCCACAACACTGCTGCACAAACGACATTTCAGAACGGAGCAAATACTGAAAGGAACCAGGAAAATATAAGAAATTTAGTAAAAAAGAATTATGAAATACCCTACAGATGTGGTTAAAGATGATGGGAAGAGGACGCATCCAACATGGCGCTCCACTCAACTGGGTAAAAAGACAAATGTCTGCAGCGGTGCATGAACACTTGTTCAAAAGCAAAAAAATAAATAAAATGCCTTGCAAAACTGTTCGTAGTCTCTTTAACATATTTACATTGTCAAATTACAAGTAAAACTTAAATTGTAAAGTGGATTAAATGTTACATTTTCAGTTGTTATTTAAATTGATAATCTGAATTATTTGGCATCCATCTGAATTCAACAACTTTTACTACAAACCTTCAGAAGTCAAAAGAAAAGGGTCAACCAGAGTCAACCAAGTGTGATTTTATGTCAGTGGAAATACTTTTTGCTTTTCCTCACCAGTCAGCCATTTCCCCTTTATGAACTGACTCCAGAGAGCCACTCACAACCACGTCATTGGTTACTCCTGAGGGAGAGAAAAACGTACACATAACTATAAATCAATCAGAAAGGAAATGGGCTCCAATTAATCAAAATGACCAAAATACTTAACGTCACGCGATACATTCTGTCGAGCGATAAAATCTGTCATTAGTAATACGATTTCTGTATTTGTTTTGTTGTTGTTTTAAATGATAGTAGCCGTAATAAACAATACTTTAATCTCCACGAGCGAATTGACTAACAATAACTGCGGAACTACTTGCGTTGACTGAATTGCAAAACGTAAACAGAACCTACGCATGCACATGACGGAGTCGATGCATTTCAGCTCCCCGCAGAGCCCTAAAGAATCCGCCAGAACCGCGTTACACTGCGCACAGTGGAGCGTCATTAAATGTTCCGGTCGTAATGTCGCAGTCGTGTTTAAATCGTCGACTCGCTCCACGACGAGACTGTCGTCAAACTCCATTATACCAGAATATACAGCATGAAAACCGCGACTGGTCCGCGCTGCAGTGTTTGAACCAACAGCGGAAGGAGAATACGTCACGTCCTGTATTGGTTTGACCGTGAAAGGTCTGTGGTGCAACACTGCCACCGTGTGGGGGATCAAGATATTGTTCTATTTATTAAACTCGTGAATTTTAATGTACCCTGAAAACCGATTGAGTCTCTGACCTAGACACTCATCTCCAGTCACAACTTGCTGTCATTATAGTATAGTTTTAATTCTAAAGACGTTTCATGTCTGTTAAAACATGAAAAAACCTTGGGGTGTAGAGTAATAATGTTTAAATTACATTTTTACGTCATATGTTTGTATTAAAGAGTTGAGACAGACCAAAAATAATAAGAATTAAACTCATACATATTTTTATATTAATAATTACAATAATATAATGAATAAAACAATTTTCATACAAGATTTATGTTCTGAGTTCTGCCATTGCATTCTTTAGTGTATCTGTTAGCTGTATGTTTACAACTGAGAAAATGACAGCATCTGTATATAAAACCAAGAACAACCCCTTGGCAGTAAATGCAAATGAGAACAAAATGCAGCCCCTTAACTTTTAAAACATCTGCATAATCACAACTTTAAAGAAAAAAAAAAAGAAAATACTTAGGATCATTAGCCAAATTGATTATTTAATTTTCTACCCATAATGTGACTGTTGGGGAAGTAGTCAAATTATACACATCTTATTAATAATACAGGGTTTCTGCAGGTTTCGCCAACTCACATTGAAGACTTTAATAAAAGTTTATTAAAAAGACTGTCTTGAATTCTGATTCAAGACAGAATTTTTTTTACAAAATAAAATCACAAAAATAAATAATAAACAATATTGGTCAGGAACAGAAGTGAGTCAATGGCTAAGATGGACATCTAGGTTAAAAACCTAGAGAGCTTCACCCCTTGCTCGCTGCCCTCTGGTAAGGTCCATTAATCAATAATTTTATGATGCTACACCACAAGAACCATAACTTATAACAACAATAAAATAATAATGTGTTTATTTTTTAAATGACATGATACACTCAAATAACAGGATTTATCTTAAAATGAGCTAAAGTTTAATAAATACAATTTGAATCTGATTATTGAAACTGATTATTTAATTTGAGAATTAAAAATGTAGAATAACTGTATTTCTTTCACACTGTCAACCACATTTACTACTTTTTTTTAACCCACGTTGAATCTTATTGGCTGTGCGTAGCATCCGGTCAAAGGCGAGAGCCAATCGGGTGGCTCCTCTGGCTGTGTTTTGAATCGGAGGCGATTTCAACCGTCGGGCGCCGAGAACTCTGGGAGAAAGCGGCGTGAAGACGTACACCCAAACAAACAAAGTGAGCCGAGGCGCGTCTTGAAGTGGAAAAAGCAGCAGATGAAGATGGATTTGAGCTCGAAGAAGTACGCGGAGCTGCGAAGCATCGCGAAGGAGCTGGGACTGAAGGCAAACATGAAGGTACGTTGACGTGCTTTGCTCCGACCGAGGACGCCAACGGCAGAGGTTTGCTAGCTTTAACGCTAACCTCTTCAACGCGTTAAAGCGCGTTTAACATTCATCTTCTTTGGTCGGCACAGGCCGATAAGCTCCTGAGAGCCATTCAGCAGCACTATGAAAAGGAAAAGAAAAACGACGAGGAAGCGCAGGTAACCCGACACGGAACTACATTAGTGCCACAAAAGCAATCCCCACACCAAACACTATTAGGGGTAATCCTTTATGTTTACTCCTATTCTTTAATTGAAATGTTTAAAGGTCCGAGTAGATGAAAATGCAGCTTCAGACAGCGGCCAGGAGACTGCAGATGATGCTTCCAGCAAGGCCGTGTTTGTGAACACACGTCGGGGGAGAGGAAAATGCAGCAAGAGAAAGATCACTGATGCTGCTGCTGAGGTATGAGGTTGTAACAGTGACTTGCTCTCGGATTTCTACTCTCCTTTATTGAGTTTCCTTATTCGTTTTTTCCTCACTCTTCTAGGCTTCTGACCCAACTGGATGTTGCAGCAGTGCAGGGGGGGAGAAGAAGAAAAGGAAGGTGACCCTGGACAAAGACCCTGAGATGAAGGAACCGGAGCCCCAGCTGCAGCTGGACTCCGAGGATAAAGCTCCTGTGCTCGCTGAAACAGGTCGGCAAAGCTTTTTGAGAAAGACTGTAGAACCTTAGAACCAGACATTGACTAAAGAAATTCTAAACCAAAATGTTCTGTTTGAAGAGACACAGATTTAAGTGTTTTTCCGTGATGGGGTCCGAGTGGTGAATGATAAATCCAGTAACATTGGAGTTATTTCTATTTTTTTTCTATGTCTATTAAATGCATCCAAACTGAGATCTTCCACTCTTCTAACCCCACATAAGACAGCTTATACTTTGATCCACTTTTATTTTTTGAACGTAATCAAATTCATAGGGCCATTACATGCATGAAACAAAGTGATTCCTTCACGTTTTGTTAGATTAAAAGCTATGACCTCGATCAGCAGAGCTGAAATCCACCTCTTCTGCTTTGTGTTGTAATTCTTAAAAAAATAAATGCCAACCAGAAAATCAGAGAGCAAAGGACATTGAAAATCAGTGTTGGCGAGGAAGCGCCCGATCAGTACATTTCTAATTGCGTTTTCTTCTTTTTCTATTCTTTTTTTTTAAATAAAAAAGCTGTACAATTATTCATACAGTTGCAAAAAAATTATTTCTATTAATTTTAAAATATTTTTTTAAAATATGATAAAGATCTACAGTAAGTCCATGCATTAACTTTGTATTGTGCAGAAATATTTGTAGATTAAACCTATGTTTAATATATATTTTTGCTTTCCCCCTCTGAGTGCCACAAGTATAACAAGCTAACATTAGTTGGGTAATTTGCAAGCAGTGGGTGCTCGTATTTGTCAAATCTGGTTTAAAAAAACAACAACAAAACTTCTATCACTTTAACCAGAATGTGTGAATCTTACATTATCCCTACATTATGACTTTCCATGAATTTGACTTCCTTGTATTAGGAAAAAAGAAGTGTGATTTTTTTCTTCTTCTTCTTCTTCTCCAGCTACACAGCAACACTTTTGTACTTTTGCAACCATTCTTTAAATTTTTTTTAATCATCTTTGTTTTATGGAGAAAAAGTATGAGCAATTCTTTTAGCTATAACTGAACTGTGATTCCTTAGAGTGCTGTATAGCTTGATACTGGTAACCATGGTTATTTATAAGGGTAGAGTTCACTTTAAACAGCATGTTTCTTTCAGAGGTGAATGTGTTCCCGTCGTCTGGTTCTCCTACAGAAAAGGCACCGAAGCAGGTAAAAGGCGGCAGGATCCCTCGTTACCAAGGTCTCCGGCATAAGAGCAAGATTTTGTTGAAGCCCACAACTCCTAGTAAGTTCTCTCCTCCCCTAATTCAATGTTCTTGTGGAGAAATGAGAAGCGATAATCCTTTCAAACCCTTCAAGGTAACTGTTGTGAATTTCCAAACCAGACTTTAAAAAGCTCCATGAGGCCCAGTTCAACAAGATGGAGTCCATTGACAGCTACGTCCACAGGAAGACAAAGCAGATGGAGACGTACAAAAATCCAGTCAAAGACCTGAAGGTGATTAATTTGAAGATTTGGCGTGTAATGCTAAATGCACACTCCAGTACTTCTGGGGAAAAGATTAAACCAGTTGAACATGTTCACGTTTTGTTGTATTGAGATTTGCTGGATCGACACATGCATTATTGTAAAGTGGAAGGAAAGTGATGCACTGTTCCCTTGCAGACCTGGATTATGTGTTCTAGTTGAAATGGGTTCAGGGTGACTAGATCTCAGTCAAGCCTATTAACATTTATAAATGAAGAAATACTTTAAAGTGTTTCCAAAGGACAATCACAGCCACAACTAACTATTGTTTTAGTTCTGATGATTAATCAGGCAGATTTTAATTTTTTTCCTAATTGGCACATTCTGCATGAAAAAAATGGGAGGAAAAATTCTTCAATTCTTTTAAAGTCTTAAAAAATGTATATTTAATTGTCTAAGATGTAGAATTTGAACTTGAACCAGGTGAAGGTAAAACAATGCCACGTGGGTTTTAAATAGAACATATTTGCAGTCGAATGTTCTTATCTTAAATGCAAAATTTGTACACATTTGACCAGTTTTGGCTTGATTAAAGCTCCCAATATGATTTTCAGCTTTTGGTCTTTTTTCCCTTTTTTTTCAGTCTGTATCCTCCAATTAACGATTGATTACTCAATTAGTTGCTGATTATTTCAAGAATCAATTCATCACAATTAATAGTTTCACAGCCTGAGAGAAATACAATTGTTTCCGTCCAACTCCGTTCCAATAAAATACACGTTTGTGGATGTAACACGGTAATGATGTGCGAAAGGTGAAGAATCATGACTAGTTCTGCAGAGCGCTGTGTATTGTGGACCTTTTTTGGCTCTGTTGATCGGTGTGTTGTGTCCTACAGAAGGATTCGGCTCGTTCCACCATGTTCAGCCCCGTTCCCGGCAACAAGACGCCGGCTGAGGAAAAGCGTCGCCACACTTTGGTCTCAGCCAGTAAAATGCCTTCAAAAAAACCTGCACAAAAAGAAGACTGTCAGTTCAGACCCTCTGTCCTTTCTGCCCGCAGGGTCAATGTCCGGTGAGCCACATTTGACCTTTCTCCAGTTTACCAGCATAAATACATTAGAGCCAAGTATATTTAACTTGCATTAAAGCTGACAGTGACTCAAAATGTGCTGCAGCTGACTTTATCGAATTGAATCCTTTATGCGTTGCTGTGAAAATCTCTCTAGATTCTTGGAGGCTACACTCGATAATGAGTTCAAGAGGTCGCTGGTGAAGACGCCAGCACGGATGTCGCCATGCGTCGCCTCCAGTACCCCTCAAAAACCGATTGCAGACGCAGGAAAGCCGGCCGGCGCCAAGTCTTCAGCTTTATCTGCCCAGAAAACTCCAGGTAATTTCACAGTTCACTTCATCAGATGACCTGGAAAACGAGTAGACTTGCTAAAATGTGAGTATTGTGAAAAAGTAGTTTTGTTTTGTTTGGTTTTTTTTTTGCATTTTCTTTAGCACTCTTTAACAATTAAGACTCGTATTATATCAATTTATTAAACTGAGCGGAATATTTCAAACCTGTATTTCTTGCAGTTTTGGTGACTCTGGCTTATAGACGATGAAAGCTCAAAATGGCGCGTCTCGGAAAATAAAAATGTTGTATGACGTCAATGAGAAAATATTTCCAACAGAAATGTCAGGATTTCAAAAAGTTTGTACATTTCTTTGCCTTCAATAGTTGGTTGGGGCTCGTATACTGCATCAATGCAGCGTGGCATGGAGGCGATCAGCTGGTTCTGCTGAGCTCGCAAAATCGGCAGCTATTGAATCGTCATCTGAGCTAATTGATATATCGCAATACAGCAGGTGATTGACACTAGGGCTGAAATGATTCATCAGATTAATTGTCAAGAATTGATGGTTGAAATAATTGTCAACAAATTTAGTAATCAATTAAATGTTAACTGGAGTATACAGACTCAAAAAAGGCAATTTGATGAAAGAATAGCATATTCAAAGCAGTAAGTGACCTCAAAATGTACACAAAAAATACACATTTTGCATTTAAGATAAAAACAAACACCTTTGTGTGTAAATCTTTTACACCCAGAACTACTCAAGCTGCAGTTTTGGCGTCACCTGGTTCTAATTCTGTAAAAAGAATAAAATAATATCCTGCTAATCACCTTTGGTTGTACAATTATTAATCGATTAATCCGAAAATATTCAAACTATGCTGTTTGTTTTAACCTTTGCAACAAACGATTAAGCATTTGCTAAAGGAAGGCTGTATTATTGCATTTTAGGCAATAAAATGTCTCTTATTTAAAAAAAGAAATTGAAAGTTTTATTTAGATTTTTAGTATTTCTAATTTTGCTTAAAAAGGACTTAAGTAGTTAAATGAGAAATCTGCAAAACATGCCTATTTCTTTGTCTAAGTAATCATCAGAATAAACTACTAAATCGTTGCAGCCATAATTTACACTCCTAGTTGTCATAAACCGTCAGCCATGATCATCAAAATGAAAAGAAATAAAGGTTGTGTCTGAAAGTAGTTACACAAATATTGAACTATTTCAAGATATTGTACATTTTGAAGCGGTCCTTGTCGATGTTTACAGAATTTTAAAAAGGCATCTATCTTCTCTCCTATAAAAGGACCCTTCATTTTCACCGGTAACACCAGTGCTTTAGGAACGCCTGGAACCCAAAAGAAACCTGCCTTCGACCTGAAGGCGAGTCTGTCGCGTCCCCTCACCTACAAGCCCCACAAAGGTACTAAACATTCCTCATGGTCTGTGAATGCGGCACATGATCATTTAATGCTAGACATGTTTATTGATTGCCGAAATACTTCATAGGTAAACTGAAACCTTTCGGCGACGTCAAGGAAAACGCAGCAGGAAACAAGTCTATGGTTGCCAATCCTCGCCAAGAAAGTTACAAACAGCCCAAAATCCAGTCAAGGTAAGTCTTGAAGGAATCTTTAATAATCTTCTGGGGTTTTACACCTGATAGTCTGGTAGACTCTGCCTGACCTGGGAGCCAAAATTGCAACATTTGTTACGCTTCCAGCTGCTGGTTCCTTTGACAGTGCTCTGTGAGTTGAAAAACCTGTTCTCCTCCTCGCCTGTGGTGGCGCTGCACCAAGAACTGAAGGAAACGACACGAAAACCTTCACAGAAGACAAAAGTGCAACTCCTAGACATGAATCAATTCATGCATTCATGTTTGATGCGACTTCCAAAATAGAAGAAGGAACAACTTCAGTGGTGTCTTAACATGGTGTCTTTGTTAAGAGACCATGAGCCATTTCTCCCGCTAGCGCTAGATACCTGTGTTTGTTTTGGTTGTATTTACCCAGAATGCCCTGCGCTGTAGCCCTTTTCCGGTCTGCTCCATCCGAAGCGAGCCGAGGTTTTCAGGTGGACTAGATTTCGCCATCTTAGTCCGCATCAAATGCGGGAAGTGGCATTCTGCGCAGGGCATTCTGGGTAAATTAAACAAAAGTTATGTATGTAACTTCGGTTCTATGAATCCTGGATGACGCCAGAGATTCTGTCACTCAGAATCCTTGCATTTCGCGAGAAGACTCTGTAGGAACAGAGCCTCGGATGACGTCATGCTGTATAGCCTCTGATTGATCAAACGATGTCACAGGTGTGACCGTTGATATTATTGTTCCAACGGCGCATGCGCGAAAGGAACATTCAGTGCTTTCAGCACCGCCACAGGGCGGTGGCTAAATAATGGCTTGAGGTCTTTTACCAACGACAAGAGAAATTCTACAACTTCTCAAATCTGATGCAGATTGCTCCTTGTTTACATTTCGTGAAGAAGGAAGTTGCGTCCAGCGTCTTCTTCTGAGGTCTAAGTGTCGTTTTATTTAGTGCTTCTTGTTACAGTGCCACCACAGGAGATGAGGTTTGTCCAAACACAGTGCAGCGTGGAAACAAACCCCTGCAGATGAAAGCTTAGTCTGTATGTATCCAGCTCCTCCTGATGATGATCTGGCCCGTTTCAGGGAGGACCGGCGAACCAGACAAATGGAGAGCCGGAAGCAGAAAAAAGAAAACATGCTCGGGGCGAGGAGAGGACTTGTGATGACGTAGACGGAGTAACTCTTCAAAATGACGGCCGTTGGGAAAGCGCGATGCTTTTTGGTGTAAAGGTTTTGACGTCGTAGAAAAGCTCAGATATTTTCTCCAACCTGCTTTATTTGTAGCAATGTTTGCTTTAAAGCTTTGTTTCTATTTTCTCTGCTGTCAAGTAGAAACTCTTGTTTATGTACATTTTTAACAACCGTTTTTATATGCTTTATTTTTGCATTCTTCTGAATGGAAAACCTTTAATAGCCCACACATTCATTCAAAAAGATGCTTGACATGTAAAGCCTTTTCTTAATTGTGATGCTTTATTATTGAATTTTGTAATAAAATTCAAATTTTCCATGAGGAAAAAAAAAAAGGTTTAATCTTTGTGATAATTCCTCTTTAAAGAACATCAGTGGGATTCCTGTAGAGTAGGAGAATATTTCTGTATTGTACACTTATATTTTCCAATTCATCGGCATTTAAAGGCTGACCACGACAGATGTATGTGCTATAAATGAATTAATTTATGGTTTATTTTGAAAACTGCATACAAAAGGATGAGAAATTTTAAAACCTTTCTGGTGTGAAACGTTAATATATTTGTTTTTTTTACCAGGCTTGTTCTAAATGTACAGATGAAGGGGGGAAAAACGGATCTTGTCACAAGTCCTCATGTCCTGCTTGAATCCTGTGTTGCGGGAACTCTCAAACTTCAGGGTTCCTCTTGTACTTCTCGTATGCGAAGTCCTCAGTGTGTGCGTAATCTCTGCACACGCCGATGAAATCGATTTCGAGCTGGAAGGGACCATCTACTTTGTCTCCAAGAGTAAATCCAATGGAATTAACCTGTAAATAAAACAAGGAATTCATCATTTTTATTTTTATGTAGTTTATGCCATTTTGAAGTTGAAGCTACCTTGTCCAGCCAGATATCGTGCTGGTCATCTTGTATCCTCCCCCGACTAGCCAGGAAGAACTTGGAGAACGGGATCTGGAAAGGAGAATTGTGTTCAGATTTTAGCCCAGATCATAAAAATCCTCCCAAAATCCATATTTGGATATAAAGTTCAGCCGTTGTGAACACTTTTATGTTAAATGAGAAATGGGTACTTGGTAGATCGCACCAACCAAGAGCAAATTGATTATTGATAGTACCACAGTTTTGTTAAAATATAAAAACTAGTTTTAAGTTAATTCATAAACAGTGAAAAAAACAATCCTATATGTAAGGATCGAAATAATTGTTTTAGTGATAATGTCAATACCAACCATTTTGACAACTTGCCTTCAGTAAGGTCATGGTTGGGTTATATTCTAAAGACTGACCAATAAAGCAATGAAAAGCTGTTATTTAAAAAAAAAAAATCCGTTTTGTATTTAAAGGACTGTAAACCAGGGATGTCAAAAGTGTTTTTTCTCAAATTGACTTCAGTTCTGTAGCAGGAAATTGGAGGTTTTCTAAGGTGGCTGTTGCAGATGGACACTTCTTTTTGTATGGACTGTTTTTTTTTTAAACATCATTTTTATTCTAGTTTTTGATGAGGAACAAAAAAAAATCATTTCACAATAATTAGTGATGTTTCTCCATCTGTCTTCGCTTTGGAGTAACTCAAACATTGTCCCGCTTTTACTCAAAATCATCTCCAGAAAATCAACCACAAAAAGTTGGAAGCTGTCTGATAATCATGCAATTCTACAAAAACCATTTCTATATTTTGCCTCTACAATGATATGCAGATCAATTTCTCTGTTGTTAATTTAAATACAATTTTAGATTTTTAGTTTAAACTTGAACAAATAAAATAAGAAAATGGCACAAAAACACCTTTTGTGCCATTTTCTTATTTTAGCGTCAGAAGGAGCAGGAGTTTCTTAAAGAGACAGAGGCCCAAATTCAAGGCGTTCAATTACAAAGCCAAATTTCTTTCGAGGTATAGTTGATATTTACAATATTTTAACAACTGACGGTAATATTATTACTAACCTTACTTTACCATGCTATAAAACACATGTCTCCTGTAAAATTTTTGTGGCTCCAAAGTGCTTTCAAATTGACAATTTTGGCCCTCGTGGCAAAAAGGCTTGGACACCTCTGACTTCAAACTTCACACTTTATTTGTCCTTACTTTCACATCTTGCCAGTAGGGTCCTCCCCTGGTGAACATGAAGTAGCTATACATGTCATCTTTCTGGTGACTGTAGTAGGAGTCTACTATAATATTGATCATCCACGGCCGGCCGTCACCCCGGATGCGCAGGTGGAGGGTGTTGAAGCTGGACCAGTCGTAGTACTTCTTCCTGTCAAACGAACCCTAGGGGAGAGGAAATGTTTCAGCCTGTGGTTCGTCACCGTGTGGACCTAAAAGCGATGAAATAATTTAAACACAGAGAGAGAAAGAGATGGAGGTGCAGCACTCAACCAGAGATTGCTTGGCACGCATGGTGCAGTATCCGCTGTAGCACGTTTCTCCGTCTTTAGGAGGATCGGAGCAAAGGTTCCCGTACAGAAGGCAGCTTTCATTGTTCCTTCCGACCTTCAGGTAAATCTCGCTTTTGCCTCCGATCTCCCTGTCGCAGGAAATCGTCCACTCCTGGAGGCTGTGGGGGCCCCTGAACTCCCACAACACCTGGTTCTGCTCCAGCATGTGCACGATGAGGGGTTTGCCCCCCGGACCAACTAATTCGGCGAAGAACTCCTCCTTCAGCAGCTTGAAGTGCCTCTTCATGCCCTTCAGACCCTTAGAGAGGTCGAACTTGACCCTCCACCACGGGGGCTTGTCCTCTCTAGGCTGGCCGGGCCGCCGGTAGCCCATCTGAGTCAAACCTCTACTGGGCGCGGCGAGAGGCGCGATGGAGCGCGGGAGACAGAGCAGGTCACGGATGCAGCGCAGGAGCCCGGATGCAGGGACGCGCGAGATATTCGGAAGGAACATGTGCGATCTGGATGAGTCTCTGATGGGAAGGATGACAGGAAATGGTTCCAGTAAGCTGGAGTTACAGAGAATTACTGGCAGAATTTAATAAATGTCTTTATTTGGAACACATTAAACTAAGACAAGCTGATTTGTGGTACATTTTATCAACCCAACACATGTACGAGTTGTTTTTATATGCACTAGCTCTTATTTTTCTGCCTTTAGCAAGTATAAATTAGTATGATATTGTCATGTCCACATCACATCTGAACTAGTTATTCACTTGCATAAAAATACAAATTTTGACTTCTATTTGTGTAGTGGTATTTACTTTTCTCATATGTGTATTATTGTGTATGTTTATTGCTGGTTTCTCAATTGGTGACTGTCAGTTGTATGATGCAAAGCATTTTGAACTGCCTTGTTGCTGAAATGTGATATACAAATAAAATTGATTGATTTCTAATAGCAAATTAAAGACTTGCAGTTCACTTCCCACAGTTTCTAAGGCTCTGCACATTACACTCTTTTTCTTCTGTCTATCCGGATTTTGCTGGTCAAAACAGAAATGAAGCATATAAAAGCCAGAGATTAACTATAGCAGCTCTTATTATGTGGAGCTATAGATCAATGTTGGCAACAAAGTACAAACTAGAATCAAGTGACATCCTTTCCTAATGTTTTATTCGTGCTCTTTTCATACAAACATCCTAAATTATTCCGGGCGTCTATTGTTTGATAGTTCCAGTGCTTAGGAGAAAAAAATGACATTACAACACAGAACAATGTAAGCCTCCAACTCATATATGTCTATGGATAATTAGGTTTAAAGGTCAGAGGTTTTTACTGAGGAATGCATAAAGTTTACCGCGACCTTGTGTTTTTGTCCACACAGACAGATCAAATGTCTACTCAATAAATAGTTAAATTATGAACAAAATCAACAGCTTCTTTTTACACTTAAGCAAAAGCAGATTGAATTCAAGCAATTCTCTCATTTAAAGCAACAGTCCTTCTCTTCAGATTCCGCTCAAAACAACACTGGTAGTAAACAAATGTGAGATAATCCAAGCAGTTCGACTGATTGCGAGTTAGTTTTGCAATCAGGTTCATTTTCACAAGCTTTGCACTTAATTGCACGCCATCTGATCACTCCTCACAGAATCTGAACTCAACAAAAATTAAATTTTTGGTCACCGCCGGTATTTTTCCTGGAACACGCACACATGTGTAAACCCATCATGTATGAAGGAAAATGTACTTTTCGCTCACTCTTTCCGCGTTGTAAGTGGTCCAACCAACCAGAGGCCGACTGCATTGATGGAACAGACAGCACAACAAAGCAATTCAATACAGGTATTAAATGCTACAAACAGACACAGATGAATTCAAGGTTGACTCTGTCCGCACAGGAAACACCATCTGCGCAGACACTGGGAAGCTCCGTTCAGAATCCCTTCGATGACAACCTGTGTAATAAACGAGAACGACTGTGAAAGTCACGTGGTTTTGTAACAGCGGCCTTAGTAGTTCTTGAACGTAGCTCTGTTGCACTGTAGATTCCCGTCCTGACTGGCGCATTCACTAACCTTTAGTTCCCCTTTCTGTTCTCAGTGTCCTTTTGTCCGTGTGTGTTTTTTTTCTATTACAAATATTTTTAAAGCTTTCAGAATACGAAATGAATGTAGTAAAATGACACATTTTGTGTTATTTCCTTAATTCTTTCCAATATATACACGCTCTTGGTGTAAAGCCATTGTGCGCGCATGCTCCGTCCTGCCTTTGAACCCAGAAGACAAGTAGCATCAGCGGCTAATCTCAACCGCTTTGACGACACAGGCGCAGCTAGCAGGTTAGCCGCGTAGCAAATCATGGTGAATGTTAAGAAGCGGAAAGTTCGAAACGTGATTGACTCTGACTCTGAAGACAGTGCTAGTGATGACAATTTAGACCAGGTAGGTCCAGTTTTTTCTCCTTAAATTGTCCCCAATGGCGGGTTCTCTAAGTAGTCAACAATTTGGGATGAAGCTAGCGGATGCTAATGGGTTACGCTGTGTTTGGCCTCGCTTGAACAAGCTGATACTGGGCCTGTCTCACTTGTCCCCTTTGCATAACATAATGCTATCCATGACCCTACTGTGTATATACACCATATATCATAAGTAGAAAGTGCTTTGGGCTCTTGTGCGTCTTGGAAGCAGGCTGTCGAGGCTAGCAATGGTTGCATAATGCTAGTAATCATGCAGTCTTGTTAGCGCGCCATACACCTTCCTAATGGTTTCCAGTCTTTGGCTGGCTGTCTCTGTGTCTGCGCGCGGACGAGCGGGGGTGTTTGCTTGTTGACGGACTGGAGGGGATCGTGGACAATGTTCGCATTCAGTCTGCCGTGCAGAGCTCGGGTTTGGTTGAGCGTGAACCCTATCTCCTGGATGACGTCATGGGCTCAGAGCTGAAGTTCTATTTCGGTGATGTTGATAAACAAGCGCAGGCAGCCGAACGTGACAGCAGCGAGAGCTGGACGTTCATGCAGAGAAGCCCTAAAAGTACCGTGTTGCATTCCTGCTTAAAAGCAGAGAACTGGCGTAAAATGCCCGGTCAGTCCAAGTTCATTCACACTCTCGCTCTCTAAATGACTCACAGCAGGAATAGGAATGTTAGCAACTTTTCCCATCACAGAAAACCAAATGTAGAATTGGTCAAATCAATTAAATCATAGTGGTTGAAGTAAATGCCAGTTTATGGGAGTTTTATTAAGTCTGAAGATGAGAAGGGTGATACAGAATATTCTTCCTTCATGTAAATAGGCACATTTGCTTTCCTTTTTAAAACATGTTGACTTTTATAGCTAGATTTGGAAGTTAAAATAAAAATGATTAATTGTGCATAGAAATCTTATTTTTTACGGATCAACCAAACACGCTTTCATATTTTGTGTTTGCTTTAAAACATGAGTTGGCTATACACAGATCAGTAACATATTGTCCAACAGACACCAGGTGAAACAATTTGGCAGATCTGTCTGTTGTTAACAGAGCCAAGTCAGCAGCCAATTATAAATAATTGACAGCGACCAGCAGCAAAAGCAGAATTTTATTTGTGTGTGGGCAGTGATACCATGCAGGTTTGGTCACATTCTCCCTGTTCAATAAGCTTTGAGCTTTCTGCTGTACAGAACTTGCATGCAAATACTATTTTTGTAATGTATTTATTCACTTTAAAATAGATCCATTTGCTGATATAGAGAGTACAATCAGCAGAGGTATCAGATTTCTACGTTGATTTTCTCCCAGAAGTTAATCTGTTAAAGTTTCTTGTACTCATTTTATTCCATAAAACCACCAGAACGCTACAGTGTATCTATCAAAACAAAGATAAGTAAAAGGTATCAGTAACGTATTTGTAAAAAGTGCTTTATGGTGGTAAAAAAAAATGGATAAGCAAACGTAAAGCCTTGAGAAAATTAATACTGAAGATTTTTTTTATATACAATATTACAAATAAAATAATGAAATTCCATTTGTAAATGAAGGAATTGATTTATTATTCAATAACAGCATTCAGTTAGCCAACCTTTAAATATTCTGTAGCAAAGGATGAATCCGCAGATAAAAACAATGACCTCTGACATTCACATGTGAAAAGCTTTTTCTGCTTCACTTAACATTTACACAGTGTGGGAATGATCTGCTCTTTTTTTTCTTTTTCCTTAATAGAATTTTAAAAAAATTGATTTTGAACCAGGTGAAGCAAAAAGTGCCACTTGAGGAGTTGTATATAGAAAATATTTACACACAAAATGTTTTGTTTTTTTTATCTGAAATGCAAAATGTGTGGATTTTTTTTGTACACATTTTTCTTAATTATTGCTTTGCATATGTTGTTAATTAAGCAAATGACCGATTTTGAGACTGTACATTCTAGTTAACAATTATTCAGCCACTGAATTAGTTGACGATTATTTCAGTAGTCGATTCATCCAATTAATTGCTTCTATTCTATCATCTAACTTTGTTCTTTTAGCTAATGGTTGAATTAAATTGTGCATTTACAAAAGGCTCTTGAAATGTTATTATGACTCAAGATTTAATAAAGACAGAGGTGTTAAAAAACGTGTTCTGTTAAGCTTGTGTATTGATGACTGATATTTTTTACCATCTTGTTCTCACTCCGTGTTTGTATTTTTTTTTTTTAAATCACATCAGCTTCTTGTGTACAACATAAGCAGCTGTCCTCTGCGTTTTCCCTTCAGGAGTTGTTGTCCTTGGCGAAGAGGAAGAGGGTGGACTCAGGCGAGCAGGAAGAGCCTGTGAACAAACCAGCAGCGTCCACAGACTCCGAGACGTCCGACAGCGACGATGAGGTAAGGCAACCGGACCCGACGGAACGGACCAGAACCTGGTCGTTTCCAGCTGTGGAAATGCAAAACACCTTAAAGTGAGACTTGTTTTTGTTTTTTTCTGCAACTTAGTGGACCGTGGGCGGCACCAAAGGCAAAAAGAAGATTAAGCCGGGGAAAGGTTCTGAAAAGAAGAGCGCCACTAAAAAGAAGGTCAACAAGGCCACGGCGTCCGGCAGCTCCGATGGCGACAGCTCAGCGGACAGCTCCGCTCCCGAGGAGGGTAGGACTCGCCATTTTAGAAAATCCGCCCACACAGAAAGTCCCGATGTTTTAAGAAAACACAGAACATTTCTAATGAACTCCAGGATGGCTACGACCAAGATGGCTGCTTCAAAATCTTCTCTGTTGTAGCTAAACACCAGTTCCATGGAAATACTCCAAATTGTGATTTCTTTATGTTCTGATGATTACATATCACTCTGGTGATTACATGGTGCATCCTAAAGCAGTCTTCCGTCGCATCGACTCTCTTATAAAACATAAAACATTCAGAATGAATGAAAGTCACTACGGTTTGAGATTTGGCCACTTTGCTGCCTTTGACCGCTTATGAGAAACGATACAAATGTCATCATTTTTAAAAACGATACAAAAACAAACGGCATTGTACATTTTCTCTACTTTGCTTCAATATCGCAATGATTTTAACTCGGAAACCCAGTTCCTCCATTACCAAGAACCTGCAAATGGGAACGTCATGGTAACAAATTTTGCCGGACGAACAACTGTCCCAGAAGTTATTGCGATAAATGGTAACATTGCTGTTTTGAGACCATTTTCTAGTGATATGACGGTAATGGCATAATAGTGCGAACAAAAAACATTCTCAAAGATCCGTAAACATTAAATTCTAATAAACATTTAACACTTGAACTGGAAGATATTTTAAAAATTCCAAAATAAATAAAAGAACAGAATCAACAAATGAGTTATTTATAAAGTCTCTGTAAACAAAGTTATCCTTCAAACAAAAAGGGCTGATTGAGACCAACTCTGGGTCATTTCGACACAAATTAGGTTAAAAAAAACCCCTCAATTTTACGACATGAAACACCATGCAGTACAAAGTCATAGCATTCATTCATCAAATCTGAACGAACTGAGATGCTGTATGTATTTCTTTTCCCCTCAGGCGAAACCAAAAAGTCAGAATAACGACTTGGTAACATGTTCTCCCTTTTCCTTTTCTTGTAGGCGAGGTTTCAGATTCAGAAAGCAACAGCTCGTCCTCCAGCTCCGACTCGGACTCCTCCGAAGACGAGGTGTTCAAAGACGGTTACGACGACGACCTGATGGGCGACGCCGAGGACCGGGCGCGCCTGGAGCAGATGACTGAGAAGGAGAGGGAGCAGGAGCTGTTCAACAGGATCGAGAAGAGAGAGGTGCTGCGGAGACGGTTGGTGATCCTGCAGCGAAACACAAAGCCGGGCGTGTGGAGCATTTCCGCGCTCCTGTCCAAAAATGTTCAGCTGATTCTTTGTCCCAAAGGTTTGAAATAAAGAAGAAGCTGAAGACGGCAAAGAAGAAGGAGAAAGAGGAGAAGAAAAAGAAGCAGGAGGAGGAGCAAGAGAAACGGAAACAATCTCAGGTTCAAGACACTCAGGTGGTGGGTCCAGATTAATAATGACGAACAGACCTCCTTTAGGTCCTACTTTTATGGGTGATGCTAAAACTGAGTAGCGTATGATCCTCTTTCGTTTGTTTTATTGAAACTTACTTGTAAAAATTTAATTTGTATCGTCGTTCTGCTTTTTTTTTTTCTTTTTTCCTTTTAATTTGTGCTTACACTCCTGTCCAGGTGTCCATGTCACATAACAAGGAAAGGCGATCCAAACGTGATGAAAAACTGGACAAGAAGTCCCAAGCCATGGAGGAACTGAAAGCTGAACGTGAGAAGAAGAAAAACAAAACGGGTGAGTTTGAGCTGATTTTTTTTTTATCGTAATATTTTGTGGCGCTGTTGTGATAACGATACAAGTGACCATAAGAAAGTATTTATTACACATTTTTATAGGTATAACTGTA